CCCCACATCGGGCTCCCTGCTCCGTGGGAAGCCTGCTTCTCCCTCTCCCACTCCCCCTGCTTGTGTTCCTGCTCTCACTATCTCTCTCTCTGTCAAATAAAATATTAAAAAAAAAAAAATTTTTATATGGGTATAGTTGACATGCAACGTTACATTAGTTTCAGGCGTACAACTTAGTCATTTGACAAGTTTATAAAAGATGCTATGTTCACCACAAATGTAACTGCCATCAGTCCCATTATATCACTATCACCACATCAACTATATTCCTTATGCTATAAATTATATACTTTAAATGGGTGATTAATGTGGTATGTGAATTGTATCTCCATAAAACTGTTTAAAAAAGAAAAATAAATAGTTCACTACTAATTTTAATATGACTGTAACACTAATAGATTGGAAACCCATAGGGGAAGTAATTGGAATTGAAAAATGCAAGTCCCAATATAAATTTTTTCCAAACCCCTTCACCTCCTTAGCCTCCCAAAGACCAAGTTCTGCAAAGCTATATGAAAAAGAGGTATCCATGACATCATAGAAAAGTTTCCTATAAACTAGGATTCGTATCTTAACCTCTCACTCAATTATCTGTGTTATGGATTGAATGTTTGGGTCGCCCAAAGTTCATATATTGAAGACCTAGCCCCCAATATGATGGTACTTGGGAGTAGGGCCTTTGGAAAGTAGTTAGATTCAGATGAGGTCATGAGGGTGGGGACTCCATGATAGGATTAGTGTCCATATAAGAGGAAGAAGATTGACCAGAGCTGGGTTGCACGTTTTCTGCCATGTGAGGACACAGCAAGAAGGCCGCTGTCTGAAAGCCAGGAAGAGGGCCGTACCAAGGAGCCAAGTCAACTGGTACCTTAATCTGGGACTTCCCAGTTTCCCAAGCTGTGAGAAATACATTTCTGTGGTTGAGGCCACCCAGCCCAGGGTATTTTGTTATGGCAGCCCATGTGCACCCATGTACCTCTTAGACTGAAGGCTCAATCTGGAAGCGCAGCTCTCTGAGCCCTCCCTACACCGTGCTCATATTGTACTGCTAGTGCTGTATCTTCGGCTAGAAACGCCAAGGCAGGATCTCCAGGTAAGCTTCTGGCGAGAAGGCCCTGAGTCATAAACACCTTGTAAACAAGTTCAGGGAAATATGTTCTGGGCTTTAGCCTGCCAATTCTTAATTCCTACGTTACTGTCACAAAATACTACTAAATCTCTTTGCTACTTGTACATATTCTTAAAAGTAAGCACTGGTTTACTATCAAGCATGATAATGGCACATCAGACTTGTGTCCTATACAGAATTTAACAGAGTACGTGTCAGTTTTAAATATGGGATGGGGGCGCCTGGCTGGCTCAGTCAGTTAAGGGTCCGACTACTGATCTCAGCTCAGATCTTGACTTCAGGGTTGTGGGTTCAAGCCCTGTGCTGGGTTCAAAATAACTAACTAACTAACTAACTAACTAATGAACCTTATACTCAAGATGGCTCCAATTCATCAGTCAAGAGCTGTTTCTATTAGTATAATTTTCTTCTAGTTTCCATTACCAATCTATATGAATTTATATCACACTTGGAGTTCTCCTGGGGCAACCATCACAATGGTTCTTCCAGATCTTTCACCCCTGACTCACTGATTCAGCTCTTGCTATTCTGCTTGTCCAGCTCACTGTATTTACTCATCATGCAATGAATCTATAGTTCTATGTCTCATGAAAGAACCACCCCTGGAATAACGCAGGCTTCCTAAGGATGAGAGAGGTGGGGGTGGCCAAGGAAGTCAAGGAAGCAGAAAATAGGGCAGCGCTGACGGTCATCTGCCTCGCCTTCCTGCTTCTGAGAGGGTGAGGGGAGGCAGCAGCCTGGCAGGAGCACAGGGAAGTGACAGAGAAATCCAGATATTCCTCTTCAAATCAGGCTTCAGCAGGGCATTAGGATGAGGGGATTTGTGAAGCTTAAGAGGAAGAACCAAAACGAGGTCAGTCCAAGCACAGATCCCACCAGGTCCCGCAGGAAGTTCAGACCATCAACCTCCTTAAAGGTCTCACCTGCCCATCATTTATACAGGCAAAGTATTCGACACATTTTTATGGTTTGTACATGCAGTGTCCATCCCAAATAACAGGGAAACAAATGTTCAAATATTGACATTTCATGCAAAGAAGAAAATAGAGAATTCACGAGTTTTTAAAAGAAGTATACCTTATTCCATTCACTTGTGATTCGTAATATAATGCAGTAATCGTTCCCTTTTTTCAAAGGTGCATTATAGTATTTCCCATAGTACAGCCTGTCTCCAATAGATATCTCCGTGGCATCATCTGGAACATCTCTGGCCAGTAGTTCTGCAGCCACATATCCCTCAGCATCAGAAGTGTTGCTAAAGAATGAGGTGGTCCCTTCAGAATCACAAAAAAATGTGCTTTGGAGGGCCAGGGGAAACACTAACACCTGATATGAACTGGAAAAAAGAAAAAGAAAATGTCTATCAGACCCTTGCTTGAGAGAGTCATTCATTCAATTATTCATACGTATGGAGCACCTGCTATGAGAGAAACACTTTTCTGGGCACTGGAGATACATCCCTGGACAAGAAAAAGTCCTTGCCCCCTGGGGGGATTTACAGTCTGACAGCTCCCACACTTAGGGAATTCCAGTTTGGACCTACGGTGCTAACGCCCCATGACACGATGTGAGGGATCTCAAGTTCCCGCCGCGGATGGATGCCAAGTAAATCCTCTTGAGCTGCAAGAGGTTGTTACATGTATGGCTGCCCTGGGTGTGCATGCCACACAGCTGATCTCATCAGCTGTTTCCACGTGGGCAAATGAAACCCAGCTGTGGAAAGGGTTTAGCAGTCACATGGAGGCTGCCTGCCTACAAGCGTTAATGTCCTAAGTCTGCAAAAAGGCTCCAGTCACATGGTAAGCTGAAACGGAACTCATGTGATCTGCATGTCCTCCAGTTCACAGATACCAGAGTTCATGTGAAATAAATGAGAAGGAGTGCCAAGTCACCATGCGTTAATCTAGCCTGACCATGTCCTGAAATAGGCAGAAAGGTAAAATGTCATGTGTACATTGTGAAACTCTTCCCCCAGCGTGGACAGAGGATCACACTAGCCGGCAAGCATCCTTTTGTACGTGTTTTGTTATTGTTTATCCCACCAAATACAAAACCTGTCAGCCAAAGGAGGTGTAAGAATAAAACCACACCGAGAATGAATCATGCCTCCTTTTTCAACCCCGCCCCTCCTTCCTTCTCTCCTGCCTCTAGGATAGCACATGTCTGAACATCTGCTTTCTCTATCAGGCCTGACAGCAGGGATTTAAATGACTTACTCCTGTATCCTTGCAAATCCTTACCGAGTTCTTTGGCTGTGACTGACTCCCCACTAATGTTTCTTGAGTTGACGTTTCCGTAAAGAGGAAACACACGCATTGGTACCAAAGATGATTAGGGTAATTTCCAAGCCATGAGGCCACATAACCTATTTTACTAGCAAATATACACTTCCTGTTCCACATTCCTAATGCCCCATCTCCTGCTTCCTGAAAGTCCATGAGCCACTAGGTCAAGAAAAGGGAGCCCTCCACCACAGCAGGTCTGGGACTTGGAAAGCCTCCATTCCAAACATCCTGTGTGTCTTCGGGGCCCTGATTTCCACAAAGTCTGGGCTCGCTTTCCAGCAAAAGGTACAAGGAAAAGCCTGCAGGGCGGTGAGCTGCTGCCACCATCACCACTGAACATCTACGAAGCATCCACTGCCCAGGGGAACGCTTGTAACAACACACTTTCCTGGCGATCTGAAGACATCCCTATGAATCATGGCTGCAGGTAAGAGAATAAATGGTGCAGAAGCTCCATGCTGTCCTCAAGCTCTAATCCATCTTGCCTTTCCATGTAGATGGTGGCATTCAAGTGCAACCTCAAGGCTCCCCTTTGGTTCTGGACATTAGAGGCACCATTCATGGGGCATAAAGCGGTCTCCCCAGTTAGCCTGATCATAATCCCCCGAGTTGCTTGATAATTATACAGATTTCCAGCCCCCATCCCAGACCTACGGAATCAAAATCTCCAGGAGCTGAGTCTGAGAATTTGTACTGCTGATAGGGCAACCCAGATTATTTCTATAAGTTGGCAAGTGTGGGAGACACTAGCATTAAGAGACTCCAGGAACAGGCTGCATCATGCACTCAAGATCACCAAGCTAAGGAGGGGAGCCTTGCTCCCAGGGCCCCGTTCCACCATGTGCCCCACGCCACTGCCCCCCCTCCCCCCACAACAATGCAGAAGGCAGACTCAGGCCTGTCTCCCACACTGGCAAAGCTGCTCCCCTGGCTCAAACCAGGTAGTCAGGGAGAGGAAACTGCTCCACTTGCCTGTTGGTAATTAACCCTGATGACGTTAGGGAAGCAGTTGTGGCTGTTTGGAACATGACTGTTCTGGAAAGACTTCTCCCCTCTTCCTCACTGCCACCCTCCCTGGAATGACTCACAGATCTCCACTTCCTGTTTTGGAGGCAGTGGAGGGCACATTAGCCACAAGGATAGACTGTCATTTGGCTTTTCTTTTTGCCTTATGTAATTATTGGCCTACATACTACATTTGCTCTTGCAAATTCTCTCAGGCAGTGATATCATAACTTCTGTTCTCCTCATAGCAACAGAATGGCAGTGCCTTCCAGTAACTCATCAGGAATCAAGAAACAGAACAATGTACGCAATATCCATGCCTGGAAAGACCTTTGAGAACTTACTGCACTTAAACTAATAGAAAGACAGGAAAAGCCTAAGTTTCATTATAAAGAGACACACAGAGGCGCCTGGGTGACTCGGTCTGTTAAGTGTCTGACTCAATCTCAGCTCAGGTCTTGATCTCAGGGTCAAGAGTTCAAGCGCCACACTGGGGCTCCACACTGGGCATGGAGCCTACTTAAAATTAAACAAACAAAAAAGAGACACACAGATAATATATCCAGACTTTCTTTTTCTTAATTTTATAATATCTCACATTTATTTTCACATTGAATGTACTGAAGGGTCATTAGACCAACAGGTCAAGAATGACATAAGGCAACAAAGGTTAGGTCAAGGATGGCAAGGCTATTGCCATGTCCTTGCCTTATTCCTGTGAGCAAAGTGCTTATCTCTCTAGGGGATCCTCTATCTTCCTTTCTAAAAAAAAAGCGGGGGGGGGGGAAATAATTCTGCTTTCCTAACCCAAGCATGACCCTGTAAATAAAATGCTTAATGGAACACAACGTAGTTCTCCAAGTCAGGTGAATTAATTCCATCCTAATACCATCTGGAATCCCAGAAGCAGTCATTAGCTACGCAGTGTCTTGCCTATAACTCAATGTGTGAACGAATTAAGAGAATTATCCAAATGACCCTTTCAGATCCACTACACACACCCAAAGATCATCTTTAAATGAAACGATGCTCCTGGTCCACCATCACTGAGAGACGTACATGAAGAGGTGAGTGCAAAGGATTAACACTTTCCACATCACACACAGTCAATGCTTGTCCGGCCGGTGACCAAAGGAAGGGATTTCATTTTTTGAGCTAAGCTGCCCAAATGCCTGTCTCTGGCTCCTTAGAAGTCTCTCTATTCATTTGGAAGGATGCTGGTTGGAACTCAAGGCCCAGTCTGTGGCCAAGGAATCAAAAACAAGAGGCCCTGATTGCACTGCCCCAACTATTCAAGTGCAGCACCTAGAAAGTCCCCTCCTCGATCAAACCAAAGTTTCCAAGACTCTCCATGAGGACCACTGGGCAACCACGGAAAAGGGGCCACTACCCACCTGATAGGTCCATTTTTCTCCTTGGCTTTCCTCAGTCTCAGACGTGGTAGAGGCCCTCCATGCGCTGTGACAAAGTCTACTTCCGGAAGGGGAGGCTCTGGAAACAAGCCGAAAAAAGGAAAAGGGTGTGATCGGAATGAGTGGAAGCATGACGAAAGTGGGCATCGGAGAGCCTTTGAAAGGAAAGTTTTAATGTAAAAAGCGATGAGCATTTTCTGACACCTGCTACCACATGGATGAATCTTGAAAACATTATGCTACGTGAAATGAGCCAGACTTAGAAGGATGATCCCTCTTCTATGCAACATCTGGAACAAATTCATAGACACAGAAGTAGATTAGAGGTTGCTGAGGACCGAGGGGTGGGTAGGCAAGGGGGAGTTAGTTACTTAATGATCAACGGAGATTCTGTTTGGGGTGATGAAAAGGTTCTAGAAATAGATAGTGGTGAGGGTTTACAGCATCGTGAATGGACTTAATGCCAATAAATTTTGTGCCAGAAAATGGTTAAAATGGTACATTTTATGTTGTATATTTTAAATCCACAATAAAAAAAATTTTTTTTAAAGGGACGCCCCAGTGCTGACAGGGTACACACAGCGGGCCTGACAGTTAACTTGCTGGACAGGTTCCTATTTGGTGGGGAAGGCCAGCATTCCTGACTTCTACATCCTTTCCAGTCACAGAGCATTCTGTCCTCATTTTGTTCTCCCCAGCAACCAGATATCCCAAATAGACCTCCTACTGGGAGGGGACTATATTGGCTGACCCCAGCATTCTAGTATCTAACTGGTAGTTATGTTCATAGTATGACTGCACCATTCTGCCTTGTGGGTACCTCAGCTCAGATGCACTGGGCACTAACCAAATGCACTAGCTGCGTCCTGCACAGGCCTCATCCCATATAATCTTCTCAACATTGCTATCAAGTGAATGAAATTCATAGAGGGAGAAAGGAAGAGAAAAAGACAAAGAATAAAATATGAATGCCTCCCCCAGGTACTATATAAGACGGATGAATCACTGAGCTCTACCTCTGAAACTAATAATACACTGTATGTTTGTTGAATTTAAATTAAATTAAAAAAATAAAAAAAATGAGTGCCCCCCCCAACCCTGGCCTTAAAATCTGTTACAGTGAAATTAAGGACTAGGAGGCCAAGATAAACACTCAAGACTTTATTTACCCAACTAGAAAATAACCTTGGTGGGCACCTGGGTGGCTCAATTGGTTAGGCGTCTGCCTTCAGCTCATGTCATGATCCCAGAGGCCTGGGATCGAGCCCCACATCTGGCTCCCTGCTCAGTGGGGAGTCTGCTTGTCCCTCTCCCTCCACTCATTCTCTCTCTCTCTCTCAAATAAATAAATAAAAATCTTTAAAAAAATAAAATAAATAAGAAAATAGACTTGGGGTAGAAATTCCCAATCCAAATTATAATAAATAAAAACTTATACCTTCCTATATAGTTTGTGGGGTTTTTTGGTGGGGGAGGGACAGAGGGAGAGGAAGAGAGAATCTTAAGCAGGCTCCACGCCCAGTGCGGAGCCCAGCGCAGGGCTCGATCTCACGACCCTGAGATCATGACCTTGAGCCGAAATCAAGAGTCAGACACTTAACCAACTGAGCCACCCAGGCGCCCCAACTGCCTAGTTTTTAATTTTTTTTAATTTTTAAAAAAGATTTTATTTGTTAGTGAGAGCGCACAAGCAAGGGGAGTGGCAGACAGAGGAAGAAGCAGGCTCCCCGCTGAGCAAGGAGCCTGATGTGGGCCTCAGTCACGACCTGAGCCGAAGGCAGACGCTTAACCGACTGAGCCACCCAGGCGTCCCTAGATAGTTTTTTAAAGCACTATCAAATATGATGGTTGCCAGAGGGTAGGGGGTTAAGGGTGGACAAAATAAGAGAAAGAGATTAAGAGTTAAAATCTTCCAGTTAAAAAATAAGTAAGACATGGGGATGTAATGTACAGCATAGGGAATACAGCCAATAATATTCTAAGAACTCTGCATGGTGACAGATGGTAACTGGAGTTATCGTGGTGACCATTTCATAATGTATATAAATATCAAATTATGTCATATACCTAAAGCTAATACAATTTGTACGTCAATTATTCTTCCATAAAAAGGCTCTATCGAATATGTTAATCATACACCACCTACCAACCCATTTGTTAACCACCTTTATACACCATGCACCCTGGGAGGCTGGGAGAAACAGCCATGGAAGACACAGTTTCTGCTTTCCAGGAGTTCGAAGTCTCACAGTGGAGACAGTTTCGTAAACACATGGCACTTAGAGCTATGATAAAGTCATACACGGGGCATTGTCGGCGTGCAGAGGAAGAACACCTGACCAAGGGCAGGGGGTGGAGAGACCACTGAATGCAGAAATGCATGTACCCAGGCGGTAGGAGAGTGGGCAGAGACAGAACCGCAGCCCTACCTCCTGCGGGAGTTCAGGGAAGCTGGAAGGTGGAGTCCCAGCCTGGGACAGGCACGCAACCAAGGGGGAGGTGTGGGGATAGGTCGGATTGGAGGTCCTGGAAACAAGAAGTCATTTACAGAGTCTTAGCAGATGTGGATTTTAGAAGTGCAATTTAGACAGCTGGTTGGAGGATGAACTGAAAAAGAACAAAAGTACAGGATGTCCAGGTATGCAGTGCCTGAGGTCTGAAGCAAGTGATGGACTGAGAATGGAGAAGAGGGGGCAGATGGAAGAGACATTCGGGGCCACTGAGAGCCCCCAATAACTTGTATCAAACACTGCCAAGTCTAGAATTTCTTCCAAAGTCACCCAGATATGGTCACATAAATTCTGGTTTCCGTAAGCCTGTGGGATTGCCGGAGACCCTCGGAGGTGGCCTGGAATGGCCCCTGCTTACAGCCGAGGTCTCACAAAAGGTGTTGAAGGTCTACCTCGTTTCCAAGAGATTCTGGATCTGACACCCCTGAGGAAGACAGCCGCTAGCTTCCTGCAGGGGTGAAGGGGTGAGGGGGCTGAGGTTTGAAAAACCCCGACCAGGTCCCCCAGGGAAATGTACCGCCTTCTAGTTTGAGAAGTTCTGCCCTCAGCCCTTCATGGGAACGTGGAAATGCCCTTCCATTTGTGATGTTTTGGTGTCGCTGTAGAGTAAGTGGTTTTTATCACACACTTCCTGTTTTCAGCCCCGAGGGAGATTTACTGTTCACTCTGTGTGTGAGAAGCTTCCTCGGGCTCTTTTAAATTGTTTGCTCTTCTCTGAGATTAATAATTCTAGTTCTTCTAATCTCTTGGCTAACCTTTTAAGGCCCCTCCCCGCCCTTTTCTCATCACCCTCAGTCAAAGCAGAACAAAGTGCTCGCTGGGCTTGCAGAAGGCGGGCCCACGGAGGGAGCAGGAACCGCTCCCCCGCCGACCTGTTGCTGCTTTCTGCCATCCAGCTGATCCCATCACCATGTGACTTCTAGACTGCTTTATGCTCTGAGACCTTCCCCACCTTGGCTTTTAAACAGGCAACTTTTTCTCTCTAATGTCAAAGCCTGGACTTCATCGGCCTCGTTCTTAGCTACATTTCAAGGTTAAATAACCTTAATTTCCAGCCATGTTTCCAGGGTGCTGTTCCCCATCCCCCAAACTGGTGTCCTGGGCAGATGTGTTCTCTCCTTTCCATGAGCCTCATTACTGATTTAAACCAGATCAGACCCAAGTCCAGAATCAGGTCTCGTCTGAGCTGGAGAGCTGGGGGAGGACCTGGAAGGGAGAACCTCATTACCATTCCTAGGTGTCGACAATATCCATCCTCTACTTGAAGCAAACGACAAAGGAAAATAGAGGGGCTACCACGTGAGAAAACCTTGCAGAGTAAGGAGAAAAGCAATGAAAGAGACCGTGCCCTACAAAACATTATATATAGTATAAAATTACAATAATTGAAATAGTGAGGTGCAGGCATAGGACAGGCAAAGCAATGGAAGAAGCTAGACAGTCTAGAAAGAGACCCGAACAAATAAATGAGAATATAGTGTATGACATGGACAGTCTTTCCAAACGTGGCGGGAAACTGGCTTATCATTTAGGGAAAAAAATTACCGTGTAAATTTAGCTTTATACCATGTATCAAGATGCATTCCAAGTGGGTCTAAGTTTAAAGGTGAAAAGCAAACTATCAAGAAGCATTAGAGGGCCACCTGGCTGGCTCAGTCGGTAGAGTGTGTGACTCTTTTTTTTTTTTTTAAAGATTTTATTTATTTATTTGAGAGAGAGAGAATGAGAGAGAGAGAACACATGAGAGGGGATAGGGTCAGAGGACAAAGCAGACTCCCTGCCGAGCAGGGAGCCCGATGCGGGACTCGATCCCAG